TCGTGGAAAGGTTTGGTTGGCATTTAAAGGCAAAAGGCTCTGACTTTCTGAAACCAGCCACAAAATGAAACATGGCAGTCCTTTTGAAATCCGCACATCTCCAAACACTGAAAAGCTGTTAAGAACATGCGGAGGGGGTGATGGACCAGGTCTCCGGCCCACCTAAGACCAGCATCCTCTTCTCCCATTGGCCAAGCAAATGCCCCAATTGGAAAGCTCGAAAGCAGGATTCGCCCACAAGACCCCTCTCTCTTCCTGTGGTTTCCACCAGCTGGAATTCAGAAGCCTTGCTTCCTCCTCCTCCTCCTTCAACTAAGGTGTACAAAGTTGCATATCATCCATGGAAGTGAAATTAACACACAGCTGTTATAAGAATTTTAAGGTCTCAAATACGGAATGAATATTCATAAATGCACACATATCTAAATAGATGAACCATGTGTCTGAAATAGTATGGGAGAGCAATCCTGAAGCCATTTTGACTCTCCCAATGACCTCTAATATTCCAATTGACCTCTAAAAGCCACACGGTAGAAAGTCTGAGGCCTGGCTCGGGGTTCTTTTCTCTACACATGTACCTGTAACTATAAGATAAAGCCCGCCTTTAGGACAATACTGTGAACTGAATGTAAGTAAACTTTATCATTACAGTGGTACCTCGGGTTACATACGCTTCAGGTTACAGACTCCGCTAACCCAGAAATAGTACCTTGGATTAAGAACTTTGCTTCAGGATGAGAACAGAAATCACACAGCAGCGACGTGGCAGCAGCGGGAGGCCCCATTAGCTAAAGTGGTGCTTCAGGTTAAGAGCAGTTTCAGGTTAAGAATGGACCTCCAGAATGAATTAAGTTCTTAACCTGAGGTATCACTGTACTTTTAAAAGAAGACTGTTGTGGACAAGCCAGACTGGATTCTTCAACTTATATGATTCTAACAAATCCATCAACTTGCTTCTAGCAATGTGCAAGGAAATGTGCTCTGCTACTAGCTCACTAGCTTGAGTGAGGAAGGATAATATTTAATCAATACATCCTCTCCTGCTATCCACAACATTCCCACAAAAACTGCATGTGGATGCTGTGAAAAACTTGCATACATGAGAAGCACCCATCCCATAACCAATGCCTGTCTCAGAGCACCCTTTTGAATGTCACTTTTAAGGGACGTTCTCTCCAAGGGCTTCTGTGCCCCAAAGATGACCACATACAGATCCTTCATCGGTCTTCCTTTGTCATGTTGTGCCCTCCTCCTCTTTCTCCTCCTCATTTGCAATCCTCAAATTGATCCTCCTCACTTCTGTGGGCCTTCATTAAAATGATAAATGATTTGTCAATGGGATTTTGCGACTTCGTCCATTAAGCCTCCTCCTATATTTTGGCAGAGGCCGCCTCCTTCTCCCTGCCTCATCTGATGCTGTTTTCAGGGGGAAATGGCAGCCTTGAGGGAGAGGCGCTGATCAGCACAGAGCGCGTGTGTGTTGATGAAATATACTCGGAGTCGAGAGTGGATTTCATGCTCTTTATTCAGCTCATAGTGGTGAGGAGGAATGGAAGTTCCCCCAGAATGTCTGCTTTATATACATTATTTACATAATGGGCCGCACGTGATTGGCTAATTCCGGGATTCTCCTGTAGGCCAATCAGGTTGCAGATTCACTTCCACCTGGAGCTGGATTGGGTGGCTCCTGTGGACCAATCAGACTGCTGCATTCTGAATCCTATTGTTCTAGGACCAATCAGACTGCTGCATTCTGAATCCTATTGTTCTAGGACCAATCAGACTGCTGCCTTTTGGATCCTATTCAACTCAGCACATAACAGTTGACCTAAGCATTGCTGCGTTTAGCCCTTACCATGGAACCAGACTTGTGTTAGAAAAAAACCGCTCCCTTTCCCTTATGGCGTATCCAAGAGCTCATATAGAGTCCTTAAGTGGGTTCCCTATCGGTAGGAGAAAAGAACAGAGGCCAACCAGAGTATATTGAGAAGCAAAGTGGCTAGTAAGCCTGATCTTTATTAAACTGTTGCAACAGGGTCCTCACTCACCCCACACAGGAGGGAAGAGAGACCCCGAACAATGGTGTGTAAGCCCTTATATGTTGTTGTTTAGTCGTGTCCGACTCTTCGTGACCCCATGGACCAGAGCACGCCAGGCACTCCTGTCTTCCACTGCCTCCCGCAGTTTGGTCAAACTCATGCTGGTAGCTTCGAGAACACTATCCAACCTTCTCGTCCTCTGTCGTCCCCTTCTCCTTGTGCCCTCCATCTTTCCCAACATCAGGGTCTTTTCCAGGGAGTCTTCTCTTCTCATAAGGTGGCCAAAGTATTGGAGCCTCAGCTTCAGGATCTGTCCTTCCAGTGAGCACTCAGGGCTGATTTCCTTAAGAATGGATAAGGATGTAGACGTTTGAAACTGCCCACCCTGTAGCCCAAGACCACCACCCCAAAACATCATACATACGGTACATCACAGAAGGAGGCGGTCTCCAGCAGATATCCTGACTGCCAGGATACCTAATACCTAATAATAGTCACTGGTTGCATTACCTGGGCAGCCTGGCCATTCTTTTGTGATGGTTAATACTTTGGGTTCCTGACTCCAGGTCAGAGGCTCATCCTATTCATACACAAATACGCCCTTAAGACAGGATTTGCAAGCAAAAAGACAATGGGGAGGCTTTTCCCATTTTCCTCCCTTACTGCAGAGGAATATTTGAGATCACTGAGAGAGTCAAAATGGCTTCAGGATTGCTCTCCCGTACTATTTCAGACACATGGTTCATATATTTAGATAAGTGTGCATTTATGAATATCTATTCTATATTTGAGACCTTAAAATTCTTATAACATTTTTAAGCAGAAGTTGGATGTTTTCCCCAGGGTCATCCAGCCCAACACACTGCTATGCGGAAACACAGTTTAATGGCCAAGAAGGGACGCGGGTGGCGCTGTGGGTTAAACCACAGAGCCTAGGACTTCCTGATCAGAAGGTTGGCGGTTCGAACCCCCGCGACGGGGTGAGTTCCCATTGCTCAGTCCCTGCTCCTGCCAACCTAGCAGTTTGAAAGCACATCAAAGTGCAAGTAGATAAATAGGCACCGCTCTGGCGGGAAGGTAAACGGTGTTTCTGTGCGCTGCTCTGGTTCACCAGAAGCAGCTTAGTCATGCTGGCCACATGACCCGGAAGCTGTACGCCGGCTCCCTCGGCCAATAAAGCGAGATGAGCGCTGCAACCCCAGAGTCGGCCACGACTGGACCTAATGGTCAGGGGTCCTTTTACCTTACCTTTTTAAAGGTGGTTTCAGAAACCCCACTGGGAGGTTCAGGGGTGTTTCCGATGGTGACATTTCAAAACATCAGGGGAATGTCCAGACTTCTAAAAATCAGGCATTTCCGTAGTGGGAGAATAGGCCAGCCCTTTCTCACTTCTGCCAATGTCCCCATTTCAATGCCTTGCCATTTTGGGGAGTGGCCCCTGTTCAAAGCAACACTTGTCCAGAGATATTCCTTGGCTTCCTCCAGCTTGACAGTTTAAATTGGGGACAGTTCCAGGAACGTTTCTGCCTCCCAGGCTAATCCCTGACATGCAACTCTCCTCCAACTCTTCCCAGTATGGATGAATTAGCAAGGAGAGGTGTGTGTGTGTGTGTCTCTGTGTGTATGTCAGGCCTTTAAATTTTAAGTCCTTTAATCCTCCCCCTTCTTCCTTGCAAAGCCTGGTAGCCTATCCCCTTCGCAAGCTCCTGACATTGTGGGGGCCATGGATTTGCTTGTAAATGGGCTGCAGGCTTGAGTTATTTACCGCATGAAGCAAGACCATTTTTCCCCCAAAAAAACGTCATTTCACAGCACAATGGACAGTCTGTTGGATGCTGCTAACCCACCAAACCGGCCCATTTTTCTCCATAAAGACAGATTACAAGAAATCCCTGCTTGACAAGAGGGGAAGGCCCCTACTTAATCATTTCCCTGCCATGCGCAAAGCACCCCTT